CTTTCGAAAGATCCATTGCCAAATCCATGAAAGATACCGACATTGTTCGAAATCATTTACATATCATGTCATTACTCTCTGTGCATTAATGAAGGATCTTCTCTGGTATACATTTCCAATTGCTGTGTGAGTTTCTCTTGCTTTTGTTATGTGGTCCTGAATCTGACTATAATGTAGGTAGGAATAACTATCCTATTCAATGAATAACGGATCGGTACGGCTGAGACATTCTGTCATATATATGTGAAACATCGACAAATTACTGTGTGCTCAATAGAGATTAACTAATCGTTTGCTACGTACAGTGAAAATTCTGTCAAACTTCAGATGATCTGACATTGGAAAGAATGAGATTATAATCTGCTGAGAGGTTATTGAATTTCTGTTTTCATGCATCACATTATATTTTGTAAAAGATGACTGAACGGATTAGGGTAATTCTTCCAACTAATCATGAATACACAGATTTGACGAATTATTGCATTGATCGATTACTAGTGACAGGATCGAATAGATATTGACAATGGAACTATTATAGGTGATTACATGAAGTAATATGCGAAAATAGAATACGAATGGAAATGAATGCTTATCTGTTCAACGAAAGACAAGTCATAATGTGGCGATAACATTTGTGATAACGACTGTATTTATGATGACTAGCTAAAAATACTATATTAATATTGCAAATCGCCTCAAATATTTCATAAAAGATAAATGAATATGTGACAACAATTCATGATCACATTGCTCCTAATTTATTCATTCAAATTTTGATAACGTCGAAAATTAACATTAGAATTTGTGGGTCTTTTCACAGTAATTTGATGTATAGAATACAAATGGAAAGAACTAGTTATCTAAAGTGACAAAAGCAATGATTCTAAATAGACGAAGAGTTTAAATTGAAAGAAGTATCAAAGATGATGATATTTGCTGTGGTCGTACTTCTTTTTTCGTTGTCATTGTTCTAAGAACGTTGCCTGCTTATTAATAAGTCCAGATTTTAAAGAACCATGTTGATGATCAATATCTGATTGATTTATTCTCAACATGCAGCAAAAAACTGGCGAGCTGAGCAAATCATTACTTCGTTTATAACTTGCTAGCTGAAGTACCCGGCGTTGCCTGGGAAAATTCAATATTGCATGCTTGACATATTCCCAGGTCGAAGTAGCTATGTCGGATCCTGTCGGACAGGTTTTAAATCCGTTGACATACGGCTAATCGGATTCGGTCGGTTACTTTTTGTCGGATTCCGATGCTATCCACTGCTTTCCTTTGATATCCGCTGATCGGATTCATCGAGTTCCGACTAAATTCATATATTCGGAACTGGTCAGATCCGATCTCAGGATCTGTTCGCTTCCGATGGGATTCAGGGGAATCTGATATCAAGAAATGGCCGGAATTTGTGGTTTCACATGACATCGGATTCCATGATAAAACCGATCAATCACTGGTATCGGAACTTGTCGGATTACAGAAGAATACAGAAGTTCCATTGATCGGATTTTTTCGTGTCGGATAGCATAGATCCGACAGGAATCAGTTACTGGTACATATCGGAAATAATCCGTAAACTATGTACGCAATTCAGCGAAATGGCTAGGGCTCTCCCAGGTCAATCACGCCCGATCGGATCCTGTCGGTTCCAAATAATTCCGACTGAAACCTATCCCAATTTTGTCGGAATCCTAACTAACGGTTTCCGACTCGGATCCGACATCGGTTTTGGACAAAATCCAATCGAATCCTGTCTGTTTTTGTTGGATTTTACCAGATTCCGGTCCGGATATCGTCAGGATCGGTTAGTTAGGATTGATTGACCTGGGGCTGTAGAAGAAATAATATTCAATGGTTGGATTGAGAGCTCATTCTGCTACGTTTTACTGAGCAAAATCGAACTGAATGAATAACATGGTAATATCTGTATCAATGATGATAGCAATCATCAAATGTAAGTAATTACAAATAAGTGCCGTATATCGAGATAATAATTGCTTCAATATGAAACAACTTAGGTGAGGCAAAAAAAGTAACGTTTAAAATTAATTAAACTTTTGTGCAATGATAAAAGGGAACAAACTGATTTCTTGATTTCATAACCTCTCATAATATCCGATGGTTTCTATTAATTTCAATTTGTTTTATGTTAGTAGAGATTATTTTGTTCTCCTTAGTAATCGTACTGTCTGCATATGAAAAACAAGTCAAAATAAATTATTGAATTATCATTGGTTATTGGAAATTGATCTTAGCTGCATAATCTTATTAATTGGTGAAAATAGATTAAAAGCTATTAAAATCAAAAATGAAAACTATCGTTAATCTTAAGAAATCAGATTAAAATCAGATCAAAATGATGCTTTTTCAACTGATTAAAAATCAATTTTTAATGGATTTTTAATTAAACAGTTGATTTTTATACAATTTTTTGTGCAATTTATTGATGAGCCTCTATGATGAATTTGGCATGGAGCTTCACAAAAACACCTAGTCGATTATGTATGGATCATATTCAAGTAAATATTTCACTCCTTTTATAGATTTTGACGTTCACTGTACAAATTTTGCACATTATTTTTTTACTGATTCTTAATAAATCAAACTCAGCTACTTTTTTATTGAATTCTCACAAGAGATGCGAAAGAAAGTCGCTAACAACGGGAAAATTTTCTATTTCATCTAGGGACATCTGTGTATCGTATGCTGATTGTAACATATACTTTCTATAAAATTTAGAGATCTTAAATACGTTTCTATAATAAAAAAACCAAGATGTCTATTACTATGTTGAATAACTTCTTTTGTTTTTCAGTTATTTTGGATATATAAATATAAACATATTGGTAATGAAATAGTTTTAACTTTTCAATTATTTTTTTTATTCAAAGATTTTATCGTTATTTTCAATATGGATTTCGATCTCGAACAAACTCTTGATTTTATTGAAAAGAGAAATTCTAAAAGATCAATGGAATATTATGAAAATAGGAAGAAAAAGCGTAAACTACATTCTGAACAAGCATCAAATGATAATGAATTACCTGATATTATTTCTTCATTTCCACTTCATATCGATTTAAAATCAAAAGTAACAACAAATGTAGAAAATAATTGTTTATTAGAAAAACAAACAGAAGAAAATGATACGGAATATCAAGATAATCTTGACAATATAAATCAAATAGAAAATATCAATATAGATGATAATGAGATCACTAACAAGTCATCTGATTGTTTAGAATGCTGGAATGATGTTGAAATTAATCAGGAAAATTTATTACATTATTATACCAACATTTCAACCAAAGAATTTTGTTCAAAACTATTAACTTTATTAAGGAATTCTAATACTTGTAAATCCCACGCGAATCATTTATTATCATTTATTAGTTCAATACTTCCAACACCAAATAATGTACCAAAGACAATGAAAAATCTTTTAAATCAATTAGAAATAGAAAATAATAATTTCAAGAAATATATATTATGTACAAGTTGTAATGATTATGTATCACTTGAGAAAAAAATTTGTTTCAAATGTTCATCCAATGATTCCAAAACGTTTGCTTTTATTTACGATATGAATATAGAAGAATATATCAGAAACATTTATATACGATTGAAGATAGAAATCGATCAATATCGAAATCAACTTCGGTTAATGAATGATAAAGATAAAACTAATGATATAGGATTTAATAATCTTTATCAACAACTATTGAGAGATAATTTGAATGATAATTTTATTACATTTTTATTACATCTTGATGGTATTAATTTATCAAAATCATCTAATATGAAAATGTGGTTGTTTTCTGGTTCAATAATTGAATTAAGACCTCAACTACGAAAACATCGTTATAACAATGTTCTTTTTTCTTTTTGGTTTAGCGATCAAGAACCCAACGTAAAGATTTGGTTACGAGATTGCGCAAATTTGATCAAACTGATAAAAATGAAAGGTCAGATATAACTGAAACAGGCTTTTTTCAGATTCAGTACATTAATGAGAATCGCTTTAAAAAAAGAAATATGAAGCGATATATTCTATTTGATTCAGAATTTTAAGCCTCGATTAATATTTAACAATAGATATTAAAAATAAAATATCTGTTTCTTTGTTTTGTCCTTCAATATATATATATATATATATATTGATTCAATGAACTATCGAGAGTACAAACAGAAGAAGAATAATGACTAATTTATGATTGGTTTATATAAAACGTATTAGAACAATATAAGTTTTCGTCATTGTTCACCTAGAAAAAAAAATGAATAATTGCCGCATATAAATCGATATTATATAAACAAAAACACAATACAAATTTTAAGAAGTTGATATAATTTTAGATGTGCCCTAAATCATGTTTTTTTTTATAATCTCATCCGCTTCTTTGTTAGTACCTT